CGGCGGCACCCTGCGCCCACCAGCCCACTCCGCCCTGGTCCCTGGTCTCACCAGTGGCAGCAGTGGGCCAGGCACGGTGGGGAGGCCCATGTCCGGCCAGCTGTGGCCTCTTACTCCCCCATCAGGGCTCAGGCAGCGGAGGCAGCAGTGGTGGCGGCAGGCGAAGGGGCATCCACCGAGTCCCGGAGTCCCGGGATGAGCCGGTCAGGAGGTCCCAAGAGGAGCCCTGGCCTTAGGTGGGGGAGTGAAGGCTTGAGCTTGGGATGAAGATCAGAATCCAGTCCCAGGGGCCTCAAACCCCGAAGGCCAGAACCCGAGCCTGAGCCCGGACTACGAGAAAGAGGTGGGAGGGAAAGGGAGAGAGGCTGATGGGTGTTGCAACAGCAAGACAGGAAGGACTTGGGGGAGGAGGCTGGAGGAGGCGGGTAGAGGCGGGAGGAGGGGGCAAAGGTTTTTTAACTCTTTGTAGCACAGTGAGAGACTCCACAGTCCTGGATCCACCAACCTGACCCTCCCAACCAAACACCCACGCGCAGTAAGCCCCCTCCCTCCTCACCCCCATCCCCTGGCTTCTCCCAATTGAATAGCAATAGACAGAACCAGGGTTTTGGATTCAGATTCCCTGGGGTACAGTTCAGAGTCCTCTGCTTTTTAGCTGGGTGGTCTTGGACAATCTAAACTTTCTGAGCCTACTTTCCAACGTGCCAAATGGTGAGACCCCATTTCAAGTGGTTGCTGTAAGGATTGATTGAAACAGGGCAGATACGTGTCTGATACATGACAAGGACTCCGTGTTCCTCAGTAACTCATTCCGTTCTCCCAGAGTTCTCCACTGACACCCTCATCTCCCACTTTCTTGGGAATGTACCCCTCCAATCTAAACCTCCGAGTAAATCCTAACCCCAGTTTTCTGCCCTGGCTTGTGGCCTTCACACCCTCCCCCCAATCTGGTTCTCACCCAGCCTGTGCTAGGCTGGGTCTCACAGCTGCTGAGCCTGGCTCTGCCACCAAACATTGGTGGGACCTCCACTGGGTCTTGGCTCCCTCGTTATGGAGTAAGAAGAACAATGCCTATCCCACCAACACAGGAAAGCGGTGTCACGAGGATTAATGAGATCATATCTGTGAAAACGCTTTGGGAATTCCAGATATCTCAATCAGATATTACTAATACGTTCCCAGAGCCCTTTTCCCAAATATCATTCTGTATTTCAGTCCAAAGCAACCTTCGAGATCATCTACTGCGCCTTCTTGTTTTATAGATGAGAAAACTGAGAGCCAGAGACACACAGAGCATGTTCCCTGAGGACCCTGAAACCCAGGGGCCCATTTTGCTACCTTAGACACATGGCTACTTTTCTGTCTGTCCCTCTGGTTCAGACCCCACTCCCTGACTCTGGGTATTTTATGTCACCCCAATTCGTGCAGGACACCTCCAAAATGAATCACACAAGGGTACAATGTTCACTCAAATGTCCTCTGAACAAAATGACCTTCCCTCTACCCAGCCCAGGCCCGTGGTCCTCTGGTGGCTGAGTTTGCTAGAAATGCAGGAAGACAGAGGAGTGAGGTCCAAGGGCTTTGTGACTTGGAATCAGAGCTCCTGGTTCCTTCTCCCCTTGATCCAGCAGCTCAGCTCCCTCCCCCAGAGTCCACCCTGCCTGGCTTTTCCTGGCCTCCCCTCTCTGATCCTAAGGACAGAGCATCCATAGGTGAGAATGGAGCTTGGATGTCCCCACCTTGGGCTGACTTCACTACACCCCACCCCCCAGCCTCTGAAGAACTGGAGAGTTGAAGCTGGACTCAGAGGAACTCACCTCTACCAACACACAGGGAGCCTCCAAGGATAGTACAGTGGACCGGAAGCAGGCCTCTCAAAGCAGAGTCATTGGAATCAAGTGCAAGAGTCAGAATGCCCAGTTTCCACTGTGAAGAAGCAAGGAGGGCCACAGGCTCCTCACCTACAATACGGGGAACACCCCAGTACCCTCACGTCATAGGCACTGATAAGTAAATGCATACAAAGTGTTTAGCAAGTGTTTGCGAGATACCAAGGATTCAATAGAAAAGAGGAAGCAATATTAACCGTTTGTGTTAATAATTAATAATGACCTCAATGTCCTAGTTTTAATGTTACAAGGAATTTTAATAGTCTGTGCCAACTGTTCAAGCCATTATACATAGCCTGGTAGAAAAAGAGAATCTCTATCATTGTTCAGGATAAATGCTAATTCACTCAATAAGTTTAAAGTTTTGAGAAATGTGGTATTAAATTGTTTTTATTTTATTATTTATTATTTTTTTAATCCTCACTCTAGAGGGAGTGGAAGGGGGGAGGGAGGGAGAGAAACATCAATGTGAGAGAGACACATTGATTAGTTGCCTCCTGCACCCGCCCCAACCAGGGCTGGGGATCAACCTGCAACCCAGGTATATGCCCTTGACCCAGAATTTAACCCACAACCCTTTGGTCTGAGGGCCGATGCTCTAACCACCGAGCAAATTGGTCAGGGCTCAATAACATTGTTTTTAAAAAGATGGTGAGAGGTAGATAGACCTAGGAATATGAAAAGCTAACTAGTTTCATGGAGAAATTTCTTCCAGGCAAAGAAGAAGGAATAATGGTGAGAGAGAGAATGGGATAGATGGAGAAATCGAAGAGGAGCAAATTAGGGGATGACAGAATTGATTGTTAGGGTCTATGGAGCAAAGGATAGAGAAGAGAGCTTCAGATGGCAGAGTCCCCCCGCCCCATCACCTCTCTCTCTCTCTCTCTCTCTCTCTCTCTCTCTCTCTCACACACACACACACACACACACACACACACACACATGCACACACTCCACAGCAGTACAGAGTGATCCAAAGAGCACTGGACTCCAGATGAGGATGATGTGGGTTCAGCCGCAGCCCTTCCATCCTGACTCTGTGGGTCATAGAAAGAGACCCAGGTTCCAGGCTGGTTCTGTAAGAATCATGAACTTGAACAAGTTATGTCGCCTGCTAAGGAACAGAAGGCAACTTAACTGGATCTTCCCTAACACTCAAATTCTAACCCTAACCCTGAGGTCCAAGGGCAGCATATAAATACGGGATGGAGAGAAGGAAACCCCACAGAGTGGAAACTCCACAGGCCAAGACAACTCCAGGTGGGGAGGAGCTGATTACCATTATCTGTAACAGGTCAGCTGTCCAACAGGACTGCCCACCCCAGCCAGAGGACAGGCCGCTGGGGACAGGTGGGGCAAGGCTGGGCTGTGGCAGAGAGTACACAGGGCGGACTGAGCCTGAGGGCTCTGACGGAAGAGACTGTTGTAACACCACCATTTCCCTCTCATCAGCTTGCGTCTAGGAAAGGGAAGTCGGAAAGCACCGCATCAGTTCCTGGTCACAACCTTATCCATCTCTCCACTCCCTTCACCATCTCTTCCTCTTTTCCCAAGATGCACTTGGCTCCTCAGGACAGGGAGACTGTAACTGAGGGGAGTAAGACCAGGGCAGTAAGGGAAATGTCCGCAAAGTGACAAGGAAGGGTAACTTCTAGGTTCCAAGTGTCATGCTGCAGTGGGGGGAGGAACCAGGGGCTCGAAAACCCAGGCTCCACTCAGACATCCCTCAGTCTCTTCTCTATGGAAACCTGGGAGGGCCTGGCTGGTGTGGTTCAGTGGTTGAGCATTGACCCATGAACCAGGAGGTCCCAGTTTGATTCCCAGTCAGGGCACATGCCCAGGTTGTGGGCTCGATCCCCAGTTGGGGGTGTGCAGGAGGCAGTTGATCAATGATTCTCTCTCATCATTGATGTTTCTATCTCTCTCTCCCTCTCCCTTCCTCTGTCTGAAATCAATAAAAAACATAGTTTTAAGAAATAACCTGGGAGGATTCCCACTGCTCTCACTCTGGGATGATGCAAGAATGAGAATACACAGGCTTTGAGGGTCCAGAAGAATGTGGCCTGAGTCTCATCCTCCTCCACCACAACTGTGCAGCTGATGGGGAGGGAGCAAATGAGGATGTTATGTTGCAGCTGGGTGGTGAGTGCTGGGTGCTCCGCGAATGGAGTGAAAGATTACTGATGATGGTAAGTAAAGTTGGGAGGAAAAGGGCGTTCTGACAATGGACGGGTGAGGGAGTACGAGACTGGGGGAGGTGGGGGAGTTATCCCAAGCACTGCCTAGTCGGTCTGAGGGGAGTGCCCACGTCTTTGCCCTCCCACCCTAACATGGTGATGGGCACATAACAGATGCATATCAATGTCCATGGAGGAACTAGCAAGACAGTTTGTCTCTCCTGAGGCCCCCAAAGAATGGTCATTTCCATAGTGAAGCTGAGGGGTCAGAGTCTGTCTCCCTCACCCCCACCCCAGGACCTCCTAGGAGCTTGAGCAGAGACCCAGGGACTCAGATCCACTCCCTACCCCCTATAGGGCACCCCATTCAACTCTCCAGACATTTTTTTATGCAACAAATATTTATTGAGTGCCTGCCTACTTGCTCCAAGTCGGACACTGGGCTAGACCCTGAGGTTACATAAATGAACAACAGTCCCTGACCACAAGGAGCTCACAGTCTAGTTGGGGCGGCAGACACAAATGAACAGGAAAGTAAAATGCAAAATCAGCATTCCAACCAATGATATGGTGCACTATGGGAGTCCAGGGAAGAGGGGAGTGATCAATTCTGGGGAAGACAAGATGGGGCAAAAGCCTTCATAGAAGTAGTTGTGTCTGTGTAGGGTTCTAAGGGATGCATAGGAGTTCTCCAGCCAATGGTGGGGAAAGCTTCCAGGTTTAGGAAATAGTTTGAGACTTGCAGAGGTGTGAAGGATACAGGCAGAGTGCTAGGATGGGCTGTGGGGGGGCGGGGGGGGGGGGGAGGGGTATAGATGAGGCTGGAAGAGTCGTGGGTCCAACTGGAAACACCAAACCTTTACTGCACTAGTCTGCTCCAGCCCTACTCTGGGGAGTCATGGAAGGGGACTTGCCCAAGAACTAACTCAGGGGGCTTTTGGGTGAGGTTCCCCACCCAACTTCAAGAAGAGGAGCAAACGTCCGTGTCACTGGAAAGCAGTGTGGCCGGGCCAGTCAGAACTGGCTTCAGTCATCCTTGGGTAGGAGACCTGGGCATGCCTTTGTGTGCCCTTGTGTGTTTTGTTCTGGTCTTCATTTGTTTCCTAGCAAAGTTCCTTGTCAAAGCTCCAAGTCTGACTTGGCTGATCCAAGGGAAAAGGAGATTTCTCTCCACTTGGATGAGGAAGCCAGAGGGTTCTAGAGGCAGGACCAGGGGGTACTGGGCAGGAGCCAAGGGCAATTCTGGGCAGCTTCCGTGGCTCCTGTTTTCCAAGCAATTTCTGTAGCTCCTTATTCACCCTGCTTTCCTCCTCCACACCAAAGGCAGTTGGGGCAGCTGAGAACAAGCCCAAAACATTCCTTAATCCTGCCAAGGTTTGTCCCCACCCACCAAGGGAAGCTGCTTGCCTCGGGGGGCTGATACCCTCCTTTCCTCTCAGGTTTCCTCTCAGGGCTCCTCCAGAGTGAAGACAGAGGAGCTGGCCCCTGCCGAGCTGGATGGAGCTGGGCAGGGGCCCAGGGTGGCATAGGCTGGTGGAGGGGCAGTCAAGGTTGGGGAAGTATCAGGGCTTGGCAGGGATGAGGCCAGGGAGGAGAGCTTGGGGCAAACGCTGGAAGGGAGGGAGGAAGCTGGAGTGGAGGCCACCTCCTGGGCACCTCTGCCCCCTCGGCCTGGAGACCAGTATCGGCTTCTGAACCTCCGGAGCAGCATGAGGAATGTAATGACCATGAGGTCAAAGATGAGCTCCGCCATCTCCACCACAGACAGCACCGAGGAGCCGAACCACAGGCTCCACTGGCTGCCCAGGTTGGACAGGAGGGTGACCATCTGTGAGGGCGAAAGGCACACTGACCACTGGGCAGAGGGCCCAGGGTGGGCTCCGGCAGAGGAGTCCCATCCCTCCTTACCTGAGGTCCTCAGCCACCCCTCTCAGCCTCTCGGTGGCGCCCTGGACCCCTTCTGTCCAAGTCATACCCACCTGGCACACCCTTCCCTCCCACTACCCCAAGAGGCTTCATCCCCCAGCCAAGTTCCCCTTCTTCCAACCCTCTCCCCCTCACCCCTCTCCTTGGTCCCCTACCTTCAAGGCCCAGACACCTTGGCCCAACAAAGGCAACCCCTTGTTTTCCCTGACCCCCCAGAAAATCACAGGCTCAGTGAGGCAGGACGTACCGTGACGGAGGGAGACTCAGAATTGGTTTTGTAGTTCAGCTCCTTGAAGAAGACATTGAGTTTGGCAACTCCGTTTCTTTGGAGAAGGGGAGAGGGTGGGAAGAAATGGCAGAGGATTAACTTCTCGGAACCTCACAAACACCCTCCTCTAATCAACTGTATCAATCCTTCTTTCCAGATTTGATTTTCCTCCCAAGGATTCCTTTCTTGGGGCTGGGACCAGGGTAGGACTGACCTCTTGTTTTTGATGGTGTAATTATTCTGTAGGGATAACATCCGGAAGACCCAGTCCTGGGAGAGAATTGGAATGTCAAGGGGGCCACCCATACTCTCCAGGCTTACAGAGTTGGGGGTGGGGTCAAACACACCCACATACATATACCCAGAGAAGACCACAGGGTCATACACACATCCCCTGTCCTTGCCCTTCCCCACTTTACCTGGGATGTCACTGAGGGCCATCGCGAGTAACCTGCAGAGAGCTTGTAACTGGTCACACTGGGAATGGAGAGAGGCACTCAGTAATAGGGGTGGGGCTCTCCCACTCAAAGGCTTAGCTGAGTACCCGTATTCCACCCAGCCAAGCAGCCCGCTGCCCAATCTGTGTCCAGGCGAAGGGGACACTCACCTGCACGGCTTCAGGCACTTGGTGAAACAGCCCAGGCGATCTGAGGAGAAGGCACCCTGGAGCTTATAGTAGCAGTAGCCTGTGGGTGCAGAGCGGACACCTCAACCTTCTCTGCCCCACACCCAAGAGGCCTCTCAAGATCCCGGGCACCCCCTTCTCAAGAGTATCAGATTACAGTGATGTCTCCTGAGTGGCTGCACCCAAAACAGTTTAAGAAATTAAGCTAATTTGGGGGGGGGGGCGCGGTGCACTACACCTATGTAAAGATGTGTAGGATTTAAACAAAAATTAGAAAGTCAGAAAGAAGGGGAACAATTGTGTAAAGTAATGAGATTAAAGCACAATGAGATATCACGTCATACCCACTAGAATGGCTATAATTGAACAAAAGACCAACGTCACCCCCAATAAATTCAATTTAAAAAGGGACAAGAGCAAGTGTTACTGTAGAGAAACTGGAACCTCCTACATTGCTGCTGAGCGTGTAAAATGGTGCGGCCACTTTGGAAAGCCGTCTGGCAGTTCCTCAGAATTTTAAACATACAGCTATGATCTGACTCAGAAATTCCACTCCTAGGTATATACCCGAGAGACTTCAAAACATATGTTCACACAAAAACTTGTACACAGATGTTCACAGTCACTATAGTAAAAAAAAAAAAAAGTATAAAAAACCCAAATGTCCATTAAGTGATGAATGAATAAACAAATGCGGTCTGTCCCTACAATGGAACATTATTTGGCCATAAATAGGAATGAAGTTCTTGCACATGCTACAAGATGGATGAATCTTGAAAATATCCCAGTCACAAAGGACCATAGGTTATATGATTCTACATATATGAAATGTACAGAATAGGCAAATCTAGAGACAGAAGTGTGTATGTGTGTGTGTGGGGGGGGGGGGGGGGGTTGGGAGAGGGAGAAGGGCACTGTGGGTGCAGGGAATGGGGAACTTGAAGAGTGCTAATGGGTACAAAGTTTCTTTCTGGTGTGATAAAAATGGCTGTGGCCATTGTTGCACAACTCTATGACTATACTAAAATCTAAAACTATCTTAAAATTGAATTGTGCACTTTAAATGGGTTGAATTGTCTCAAAAAGCTGTTACCAAAAAAAAGAAAGAAAGAACAGTTGGTTTATAGATTCCCTTGCTCCCCCATTTGCCAAAGTCTAAGTAAGGTTATATTGTTCTTCTTGCTACTCTTAGTCACCCAGTCTGGAAGTCCTCCTTCATTTCTGACCCAAATTTCTCAGTCTACCAGGACTGGGGATCTTTAATTAGGAAGACTGGGAAACAGCGGGGCCCTTTTCTCTGGGGAGTGAGCAGTCCTTAGGAAACGCAACAGACTGAATTTTTAACCTAGTGCCTTTCCCTCCTCCTCACAGCTTCTCAGCAATCAGTACTGTTATTTTTCTCCCACAGATCTTCTTCAAACTCACAAACACTTAGAAATCACTGTTTGCGGGCCGAGGGGAGCAGTGGGCAGGGAGCCATGTCCCTCCTCAGGGTCTCAGCTTGCTTATCTGAGAGAGGAGAAGGTGAGGCCAGGAGGAAACACTCCAGCTCAGATGCTCTATGGTTTTCTAAGGTCAGAGACACAGGAAGGGAGGCCACAACTACAAAGTCCAGCAGGGGAGAGAGCTGGGTGGAGCAGACCCAGGAAAGGAAGGAGGCCGCAAGATCAACACAGACAGAGCCAAGCCAGGCAGACACGGAACTCCGGGGTCTGCAGGGCCCCTGCCTCATCCTGAGAGGTGTGAAGGTGTGTGTCCTCCAGCAATGGCCAGCCACCCACCTGCAGGGGGAGAGTTGGTCCCAGGGGAACCGGGGAGAAGGAGACCCCGGAGGATCAGTCAGCTGCGAGGGATAAGAGCATGTGCACCAGGAAAGCCAACCCTCTGTTTCCATGGTTTCCTGTTTAGGATTTTCTCTCCCTCGGCTTCCTAGTACACAGCTTCCCTGCTGAGTAGCCCAGCTGTAGTGAACAGAAAAGGGGATCTGTCTACTCCCAGACCAGGATAAGGAGGAGACTCCAGGGCTCTCCAGACTTCTTTGATTGTGCCCTCCTGGAGGTAACAACTTCTTAAATAAGCAACTCCAGTATACGTATTTGGTTTATAAAGCACATACCTGCTACTATTGAATTGATGCATTATGTACATTATAAAACATACATAAAATGGGATGTGTAAGAGAATGATAGAGACACATTTAACTTCTGGTATTTCCTCCCTGCACCCAGTGAGTTATCCCAGTGCCTGGCCCGGAGCCTTGAGTGAGACGAGGGAGCTATAGGCAGAGTGTGCACAGAAACCTCAGCAGGCCCCGGAGAGAACGGGGAGATTTTTCACACACTCTTCCTACCTTATGCTGCAAGTTATTTTAAATAGAGCCATCCTACATAATAAAGAGCTAATATGCTAATTAGACCGGACAGTGGGAGGCGGGTGGGCCCGCGAGGCAGCTGGGGCTGCTGCGAGGGCCAAGCCCCTTGCACTAATTTTGTGCACTGGGCCTCTAGTTCCTTTATAAACACACAGAAGCCAAAACAGAAGGGGAGAAACTGTGAGGGAGGGACAGAGATAGTGCATAGAAAACTGAGAGAGGCCAGTCTAAGGACTGGAAAACAAGAGACAGGGAGAATTCATCAGGGCCAGTGTGAGGCAGAAGCAGCCCCACAGATGAGGGTGCTGAGAGGAGAGGGCTCTCAGGAAAGTCCTGGTCGATGGGCAGCCCAGGGGCTCCCTCCTGGACTCTCACCCCAGGAATCATGCTTCTTGTAGTCACAGTACTCCACATGCTTGGGCCGTGGGTAGAAGATGTAGGCACAGCCACACTCCTTGACCATGCTCTCCTGGAAGCAAGAGTGAATACACACCTACAGAGAGGAGAGTGAGGGGGGAGGAGGTCAGGCCTGCGCTTGCCCACAAACAGCCCAGAAGAGACAGAGAAGGGAAGGACAAACAATTCTCTGTGCTGCACATCCATCCCTCTTTCCTCTGTTTACACACACACACACACACACACACACACACACACACACTCACACACACACCCTTCAATTTTGACTGACCAGCAGTGCAGGCCTGGGAGATGGTTGCCATAGAAACAGACTGGCCTCACCTGCTGTGTGTACTTGGAATGGTAAAGGTTCTTGACAGGTACGTCACTGCCATTATAGGTACAGTCTCCATAGTTGCCCCCAAGTCTGTCCAGGGTTTCCTGTGAATACACACACACCAAGATGTCAGAGGTCGCAGAGCAGAGCAGTGGCCCAGGCCTCCTCCTGAATCCTCTGTCTTCCCTCAGTCTCAGGTTGCATCTCCTACCCTGCCAGCCTCACCTGTCTGCCTCCCCATTTCAAAACATGCTCCCAGTGGCCCCAACATCCACCTCAGTGCCACATTCAAGGACACCAGGCCCACAGCATCCCCTGGAATCCTAAGCATGTTCTGAATCCCTTCTAAGCACTCTCATCCAAGGCCCACTCCTCTGCTCCCTTCTTCCTGGTGTCCACTCTTCCAGCCCCACGCCCCTGGTTTCTGCTCCTGTAGACCTCCACATACTCAAGGTCCCGGCCTGCATGATCCCCCTCCTCAGCCTCTGGTTGTCAAGACCACTTCCCATGCCCCTCGCTAATCTAGGGCTCTCCTCCCAGGCTTCCCAGGCAGCATCCTTGCCTTCCTCATGCTGATGGAGGTCTCCACACCAGGCCGCAAGTTAAAGCCACCATCATCCATAAAGGCAGGCTCATCCTGCCCGTGCACCGTTACCCTGGCCCCAGTCACTGTGGACAGCAGCGGGATGAAGTCATTCTGCTCTGTGCGCAGTGTCAGGGACAGACCTGGGGTGTGTAGAGGGAGCAGAGTTGGGGGAAGGTCTTGGAAAAGCATTAGGGGATGGAAAACACCCTCTCACCCTGCCCAGTTCCTAATGCTCCAAGGAGAGCAAAGCAGGAAAACCTACAAATGGATGGATTCTGGGGTCGGGCTGGAAGGACTAGGTCAGGGTTCCTATCACACCTGGAATGGACAACGTGGTACCCATGGTGGAGAAAGAACAGCGAGGACTCCTTCCAGGACTGAGATAGGCACATTACGTTGATGCCCAGAGGCTCACGGTATCTCTAGGATGGAGCTCAAGGTGGGTAAATGTGGGTGGGCAGGGCAGTAGGAAGGGCTGAGGCAGAGGTCAGGGATTGAGAGTATGGGGTGTTGCTCACCATTGTTGACCCCAGGCATAGAAGACATCCAGAGGTTGGAGTTGTTCTCGCCATTGAAAGTGTAGCAGTTTCCATATATCGGGTGGTGGAAGTGAGAGTAATTCCTATTCAGGAGGGAGATAGAGAAGGGTCACAGAGAAAAGGGACCAGGGAGGGAGGGACTTTCAGAACGTTTTGTTTCCTGGTCATCTACTATGTGCCAACAGCCTGCGAGGGCATCATCTCCACAGCACAAAAGAGGAACATGGGGCACAAACAGTGATGACAACTTGGGAGTCAAACCCAGGTCATTTACCTGCTAGCCCGGGTTTCTCCCAGCAGGCCACTTGACCTGCCTGGCCTTGTGACCTCTCTTGTGTCACTGTGTTGCATTGTGGAGACTCTTGCAGTGTCCCTAGCTTCTCACATGTCTACATCATAGTTCACCATTTGGATTCTGATCTCCTTAAAGACGGGAGCCAGATCCCATTCATCTCTATATCATCTCTGGATTAACTGCATAGTTCTTGGCATATAGGAGACAGTTAGTAAATAGTTAATAAATGAATGAATGAAATGGAAGGGAACAGCAGAGAGTAAGGCCAGTGGTGAGCATGGAGCTGAGAGGAGGAAGATCAGATCCCAAGGCAGAAATGAGTAGGGTTCTAGTTGCATGGCTCTGAGCAGGTCATTTTTTCTAAGCTTATTCTTCTCGTCTATAATAATAAAAGTGTAATATGCTAATTATACCAGACAGCCTAACAACCTTCCGGACATCATTTCAGATGTCCTTCCGGACGAAGCTGCAGTGGCGGGGGCCGAGGCAGAGAAGGTTAGGGGTGATCAGGCAGGCATAGGGGTTAGGGGGGATCAGGCAGGCAGGCAAGCAGTTAGGGGGGATCAGGCAGGCAGGCTAGCGGTTAGGGGCGATCAGGCAGGCAGGCAGAGTGGTTGGGGCAATCAGGTAGGCAGGCAGGCCAGCGGTTAGGACCCAGCGGTCCCAGATTGCGAGCGGGATGTCTGACTGCAGGATTGGGCCTAAACCGGCAGTCAGACATCGCCCGAGGGGTCCCAGATTGCGAGAGGGTGCAGGACTGAAGGACACCTCCCCCAACTCCCCCACCCATGCAAGAATTTCATGCACTGGGCCTCTAGTCTATAATAATAAAAGCTAATATGCTAATTAGACCAGACGTCCTTCTGGATGACCAGCCAGACGAAGCTGGGGCTGCGAGGGAAGCCTGGGTCCCAGGTGCCAGGGGAAGGAAGGCCTACTCTTGCATGAATTTCGTGCATCGTGCCTCTAGTTGTAAAATAAGGAGATTGGAACAAGGTGATCTGGAATATCCCATTGGCCTTGAAGAAAGAAGGCACAGAGGTGTGAAATATTGGTGCACATTCTGGAAAGCACTAGAAAGTCAACATTTCCAGAGCAAAGGCTGGATTCAGGGAGTGATGGAAGAGGAAACTATGAAAGAGAGCAGAGGCCAGGGCTGAGGGGCCTGTGAGCCCTGCTCAGTGGTAGAGGGGACAGGTGCCATGTGTGGATGCACACTATGCAGCAGGTAACAGAGCAGATGCAGCAACATGAATGGATCTTAAAATGAGAGCTTAGTAAAAAAAGTAAGAGGTGAAATGAGATATACAACACAACACCATTTATATTACATACACATTGTGCAAAAACAGATACAAAGGGATACACACTAAGTATATTGTAAGAATATATGAGAAGCAGTATAACGTGAAGAGCACAGACTCCAGAACTAAATGACTAGTATTTGAATCATAGCTCTAACAAGTATTAGCTGTGGGACCAATGAAATCACTTTATCTGTGTGTGTTGTAATTTTCTTATCTGTAAAATGGGATACTACTTACCTCACAGGGGTGTTATGAGGATTAAATGACTCTCAGAACAGTGCTTAGCACTTAGGAAGAGCTATATAAGTTTACTATTAACATTATAGGGATTTATTAACATGGCTAACATCAGCCCTGGCCAGGTAGCTCAGTTGGTTAGAGTGTTACTTGATCCCCAGTCAGGGCGCATACAAGAACCAACAAGTGCCTTCATAATAAGTGGAACAACAAATCTCTTTCTCTCTCTCTCTCTCTCTCTCTCTCTCTCTCTCTCTCCTTTCCCTTCCCCTCTCTCTCTCTCAAATCAATTTTTTAAAAAAAAGATGGCTAAAGTAAAAAAAACAGACAATAACAAATGGAGGATGTGAAGAATTTAGAACTCTCATACATTGCTGGTGGGAATGTAAATGGCACCGCCACTTGGAAAACAGTCTGGCAGTTCCTCAAAATGTTAAACATAGAATTACCATATGACCCAGCAATCCCACTCCTAGGTATATACCTAAAAGAAATGAAAACATATCCATACAAAAACTTATACAGGAATGTTCATAGCAGCATTATTTATAATAGCCAAAAAGTGTGGGGGAGGGGGGCACAAAAAGTCCATCAGCTAAGGAATAGATAAACAAAATGTGGTATATCCATACAATGGAATATTATTCAGCCACTGAAAGGAATGAAGTACTGATACATGCTGCAACATGGATGAACCTTGAAGACATTATGTTAAGTGAAAGAACCCAGATGCAAAAGAACACATGTATGATACATTTATATGACATATCTACAGTAGGAAAATCTATAGACACAACAAGTAGAATAGTGGTTTCCAGGGCTTAGAGGAGAGGAGAAAATAGGGAATGACTGCTAATCAGTACAAGCTTTCTTTTTGGGGTGAAGATGTTCTAAAATTAGTGATAATGGTTGCAAAAGTCTTTGAATATACCAAAAAAACCACAACAACAAAAAAACCACACAACAACACTAAATGGTATATGTTAAAAGGATGGTTTTAATGGTATGTGAATTATATCTCAATAAATTTGTTTTTAAAGAAAAAAATGTTGAGCCCTGTCTGGTTTGGCTCAGTGGATAGAGCGTCGGCCTGAGGACTGAAGGGTCCCAGGTTCGATTAGGGTCAAGGGCAGATGCCTGGGTTGCGGGCTTGATCCTCAGTAGGGGTTGTGCAGGAGGCAGCTGATCGATAATTCTCTCTCATCATTGATGTTTCTATCTCTCTCCCTCTCCCTTCCTCTCTGAAATCAATAAAAATATATATTAGATAAAAAAATATTGAGAGAAGGGGAAAGGGTGCCTGACATTGGGGAGAAGAGTTGGGTGAGAACGACATGATAAAGAGCTTCAACTTGATTCTGAAGGCCATGAGAGATGTTGAAGGATATTAAACAGGACTAACTGGCACAGTTAAGTACAGTGAATTGAAGTAAGAAGAGTAATGTATAAAGCTTCCTGTGATTACAGAATGAAGAGAGGATATAGAAAGGCAAATTGGGAGGGGGTGGTGATGGTGGTAACAATAACCTGGGTGAGAAATAATGAGGCTCTGAGCTAAGGAAGTGACCTAAGCATCAAGACTGAGATGAACCTTGGTCTTTCCATTGATAGGGAGGTAGGAGCATAGGACAGGCAGAGTGAAAGGATCAGTGGGAAGGTGACAGACAGCTAGAGAGAATGGGTGGCAGTTGTGAGCTGACCCAGGCTCAGGTGCTGCTATTGTCCCACTTCCTGGCAGCTCCTGTCCTCAAACAAACATAAGACTAGATAGAGGCAGGAACAAAATCGTGTGCTGGGCAGAGTGTATGTGCCAGGTGAGGGGTGGAGGCAGAAGCAGGTGACACCTGGCCCTGCTGCCATTCGGCAGCGACATGGGAGGGAAGGGCTCCCTGTAGAGTGGAGAGGCTGCCTCAACACCCTTCCTCAGCCAGGCAGAGGCAAGAAGATGGCACCTGAAAATTAAGGATCCGAATCAGGGAGGGAAAGGAGGGGGTAGGAGGAGCCAGAGACTACAGAAGGAAACTTCCCTTACTCCTAGCCTCTCCCAGCCCTCAGAGAGTTAGCAGCTGCCATGACCTCTTTACAAGGTCATTATGACAGGAATCTTAACAGAAAGAATCCCTGGGGGAAAGAATCCTTAAACTAGGGCTGGCCTGGTGGCCTAGGGCAAGTCACTTCTGCTTGAGTACAGAGTAATGAGACCCAACATTCATTGTAGTTTACTAAGTGCCCTAGAATTTGACATCTCATGCACTTGGAGATGTATATTATCACCATCTTCATCACTGGAGTAAACGTGCCAAAAGGGCAAGGATTCTATATATTTTCTTCTCTGATGCATCCCAAATGCCTTAGACCAGTGAGTGGCACATAGCCTACCCGTGGGCGGCAAACTGCGGCTCGAGAGCCACATGCGGCTCTTTGGCCCCTTGAGTGTGGCTCTTCCTAAGCCTTAGGAGTACCCTAATTAAGTTAATAACAATGTACCTACCTATATAGTTTAAGTTTAGAAAATTTGGCTCTCAAAAGAAATTTCAATCGTTGTACTATTGATATTTGGCTCTGTTGACTAATGAGTTTGCCGACCACTGGCCTAGACAGTCAAAACTATTTGTTGTATGAACATTGAATAAATCTCATTTTCAACCCATTTTACAAACAAACAAACAAGTTCTGAAGAGTGATTTGAAATGCCCAGGTTCACCTGGTCAGGAAGTAACAGAGCCAAAGCAGGAACTCAGGTTTAACCCCTCACTTAGTCCATGCTATTTCCACCACACGCCTGCCCATCTCATCTGAGAAAGTGGAGGATGGAACCAGACGACCTTCTGGGCACTTTTGAGTTTGATGCTAGTGAGAAAGAGGCCTTAGATAGACAGGGAACCATGCCTCCAGCTCTTGGTTTCTCAAAGCTGGACCTCCACCCCAACCTTCCCAGGGCAGCCATCTGAGGCTACTTCACTCAGACCCAGCCCTGCAGAGAGCAGCAGAAGTCCTACAGAATGATCCAGGGGACAGAGGTGTGGACCTGAGTTCAATGCATCCCCTCCTCTGTACAGGCATTTATTTAGTCAACAAGCATTTCCTGGGTGCCACTCCTGCTGGGCCTCAGGCTGGCTCTGAGAGGGAGACACCAGGGGTGGGGAGCACAGAGGCAGACAAGACAGACTCACGCCTGGCTGCAGGAGGCCTGGTTAAAGCGACAGCTGAAGATGAAGTTGCCCAGCTTGTCCTCCTCCAGGGATGTGAAGGAATCTGGCAGTCTCGACAGAATGTTGATGTAGTGGAAGCGGTACCACTCCCTCACCGCATCCACCCCTGATGAGTATGTCTGGTAGAAGCAGTCGGATTTGTTCTGGTTACACTGGAAACAGAGACCAGAGCGTCAGAGGGCCAGCAGCAGGGGTCAGGCAGCAGGGCAGGGCCGAGATCAAGGACTGAAGGGTCTGGGGTCCTGAGGACTGACAGACAGGAGTGGGGAACCAGCAGTAGACCAGAACAGAAGGCAGAGAGGAGCAGAAGCCGGTAGGAGAGTGGACCAGAGGGCATGGGATTAAGGGAGTGGGGGGCCGAGGAGACCAGAAGCTGTCATTTATACAGTCTCTGCCAGAGAGTGGAGCAAGGATTCTTCTCCCCATTTCACTGATGGGAAGACTGAGGGACCAACAGGTTTATCCCAGCAATAGAGCTAGGACTAGCTAGCTATCATTACAGGAGGCTTCTCTTTCTTCTTCCCCATGCTGCTCTCCCACTTCCTCTTCCTCTCTTTCTTTCTTTCTTCTTCTTCTTTTTTTTCTTTTTTAGAGAAGAGATCAGGCACATTCAGGGTGGTATGGCCTTTCTCTATTTTTTAAAATTTTTCATTGAAACACATTTTAAGTCTGCGTTTTCACAGTCTCCTGATTCTCTGCCTGAGACCTGCAAAACCCCGGTTCCCTATCACACTGGAGGCTCCCAAATAAGTCCCACCAGGGGGACCCGTATTTCAGAAAGGGGCATTTTCCACAGCAGATTTGACTTCCGGCCACCTAAACGCTCCCACAGAAGCCCCCGGAGAGGAGAGACCCCACAAGCTGACTCTCAGAGATATGTTATTTCGTTTTATTTTTCAAAATGTATTAATTTTGACAGCCAGCTGACGAATCGCTGGCTCAACACTAGCCAACAGAGGCGGGTGGG